GTTTTCCCCCCCCCCCCCCATCAAAAATCCAATGGTCAATCCCTTATAACCCACAAACCTACACTGTTTTTAATTAATTACAAAAAAATGCAAGATTTGAAACAATTGTCAAAAATTAACTTTATCAGCTTGAGGTTCAAATCTGAGAATGAGACAGAAATTTACAATCATTAATGGGTGCCAATAATCATTGTACAACTTTAAATACTTGTAATTATAATCATTATGTTGCTATGAGTTAAAACTTACCTAATAATATGCCAATTGTTACATTTTTTCCCTAAGAAGTTCTCTTAGGCCATTGTCGAAGTACGTCTCCTTGATTTCAGAAAGGATCAATCGGAAGAACTCTTTTCTTGGTCCTCCGTAATCTTCAGCCACCTTAAGTGTTGCGTTATTGACATACATTAATAACAGTACAGTTTGAACTATTCACAAATAAAGTGGCGCTCTCGTCAAAATTTTTATTTTCTTAATTTTAACGAAAATGCTCTTAAAACTGTATATAGTAACTTGTTTTGAAGATTTTTGTTGCCATGCTTAGTTCTTGAGATATTTCATTTTGTCTGTAACCAAGTGACGTCATTTATTCAATTACAAATATGAGATATCAATAATCATGCGATGGCAATTACAATTAGGAATTAATAGTAAATTTCCAAACATCACGAGTACAATTAAATATCCCTAATTCCCTGCAACATGGCACAATTACTTGTTTATTATTAGCATATGACAAAATTGGATACTTCTCTGTCAACATCATATTCTCTTGCCATTTGCCCGGTCCTGCCAGAGGGCTAGGGTTAAGCTAATCGGCTTTTGAACAACTGGCCCTGCAGCAGTACAATGTGTGAAATAATTGTACTCCTCTCAACCAATCAGCATCCAGTAATTTTTTCATGCTAATAATAAGTTAATTTAACATACATCATTAAGCATACTGTTTTTTTAAACAAATCCATCAAAATAGCAAAGATACACAACAATTACTGATCTCATTATATGTGTAATTGAGTAAATTAAGAAAATAAAAATTTTGATGTGAGTGCCATGTTAAACTCCAAATTATTTGTAGTTTAGAATTAAGAGCACAAATCCTGGAATATGCAGACATGCCTAGGAGATGCACCCCCCACATTTTGAGTATGACTAGAATAGATTTAATATAAAATCATGCATACCTCGCCATAAAATTGAACTTGTAATGTTTTCCTGTATTCTTCCAGGAACATAATTTCATCGAAGGTGGTCTCCATGAGATTATAGCGATCAACATTTATATAATTAGTGTCCCCTTCTGTTGCCTGAGCTACATTTTGCACTTCAAGGGCTCTTCCAATTACCATTTTCTGCTGAAAACACCTCAGGATTTCAACATGACTGAAATTATTTTCTCTGCACAATGCAACTGTGCCATTCACAACTTCTTCCACAGTGTGATAATTTTCGACATCCGGTGTTCGTGTCAGATCGATTGTCGCTACTCTTCGGGTTTCAGTTGAGGTGTTGGGTGGAAGAGATGAAGACGAGGGGGTTCTGTGTGAAGTGCTCGCTGGAGCAGAGGATGTGGAGGATTGTTCAGGAACACTGGGTGGGGCAGTTGACAAGGAGGATTGTTCAGGAACACTGGGTGGGGCAGTTGACAAGGAGGATTGTCCAGGAACACTGGGTGGGGCAGTTGACGAGGAGGATTGTTCAGGAACACTGGGTGGGGCAGTTGATGAGGAGGATTGTTCAGGAACACTGGGTGGGGCAGTTGACGAGGAGGATTGTTCAGGAACACTGGGTGGGGCAGTTGATGAGGAGGATTGTTCAGGAACACTGGGTGGAGCAGTTGACGAGGAGGATGCCTGAGGGACACTGGGTGGGGTAGTTGACGAGGATGCCTGAGGGACACTGGGTGGGGCAGTTGACGAGGAGGATGCCTGAGGGACACTGGGTGGGGTAGTTGACAAGGATGCGTGAGGGACACTGGGTAGAACAGAGGATGACTGAGGGACACTGGGTGGATCAGAGGATTCATCAGAGTCTAATCCTTCAGTGCATGCCCACAAATGCTTGCAAAGATTGCAAACAAGAACTTCTTTGTTGCACATCTGACATACATACCTCTTTAATCTCACACTGGCTTTATTGTACCAGAAGTGAGGTGGCAATGATCTCTGGATAGGCCGCAAGTAAACTTTACCCTGCCCACCACCCAAAGAGGAGCATAGGTCTTTAGCATTCCATGAACAGTTGATGACGGTGAGATCTCTGCAGTTTGAGGCGCATCGCATCATTTCAAATTGCGTTTCCTATGCTGTCTTCCATTTCGGACATTATTTTGTCTGTCACCATCTGCTCGTCATCTTCTAGATCGAGCTTGATCTTTTTCAAGCCCAGACCAGCTTTAAATAAAATCTGTTTTTCTGCTGCTGATGGTGTCTTTGTTGCGGTCGTGTCAGCAAGACAAAAAAGGTTTGGCGTCCACGGGTGACGTTTAGGTGCCCTCCTGCTGGCACCACTTGTGGTGCTTCTTGCCGCAGCACGTGCCTGAGTGCAGCTGTTGTGCCTACGGGGATTAAAAATTGCCAAGCATTCTTGGCGGGCAGCTGACACTTGGCGCGAACTCGAACTTGGCTCTTCGATCTTTCTTTTGCACGCATCACGAAGACAAATGTGATCGCCTATCGTGCTCACGCTGAGGCGAACCAATTCCTGATCCGACGCGGCCATGGTTGTCTCCGGCTCCATTCGCTGCACTTGGAATCGACCAAGAACTATCTCCATGCCCAGAGATCGAAGTATTTCGTCCATGACAAAACAAATAACACTAAATAGCACTCTCTTTTTCGAAGTATCAATATGTTGAAGACATGAAGTATAAAATATTATTCTTTCTAAGCCG